TTGCCTCTTGTGTACCAAGCCAAATTAAACCTGCCGCCATATCCGTGTTCAGGACCATTTGCTTAAAGTAAAACAACCTTCAGACTACTCCAAATTTGACCCCTTAGCAGAGGGCCATATTGATTATGGTGAAAAGGCTTTCAACCTTGTACGATAAACCCCCTTCCATCCTGGCAACAGAGTGGTTTTATGTAAACATTCAAAGTCCAGCAGTTATGGGGACTGGCAAGTGTGTTTTGACACAATAAGGTACCATTTCCATGGATGTGTTAGCAGTCGGTTGCCTGCGGCCATTACAAAAATTTTGGCTAACATGGCTCCCTGGAAAGGATACAAATGTTAAAAACAGCCCATTTGACTCGATCATAAAAATATAACCAATACTGTTTACTTAAAGGTGCAGAGTCAGACACGCTTCATAAATATATAATGCACCAATTTTTGTAAAATTACACGTATCTGACAAGCATTCCCAACCAGATTTACCAGTATGTGTAAGTGGAATAGGTTGTAACTAACTGAGTACTTTATTTGTGCGAAAAAATATCATGCTGGGCACAAGGCAGTGTATCTCTTTCAGGTATTGATGCAATTCCTACAGCTGACTTATCCCTGCCTGTACATACGTCCGCTGTACCAGGATGTTTGTGCAGTTTTCTTTGCCAAAGGAGCTGGGTTTATTATGCCTCGTATTGATTCCACGAGGCATTATTGACTTCGGCCAAATTTAGCAGTGGCTGGTCAATGTAAATCCTGCTTTACCCTGTCAACAGCTGGATCTGTTTTCCTGTTCAAAAGGCTTGTTACATGTCCTACTGTGGGGAAGGTTGTTCTGAATAATATTGTCAGGGGGCCTATGCATCTGCCCAATTTGTAATAATTGAGCAGTGCCACCTACTGCCTGCAGCCAGAAGTGCAGCTTGGTGAAGTGCTCCAAAGGAATAATTATACATCTCAGGTTATATGTAGAAAGAGATGATGCGAAGAGATAAGAAAAAAGGATAAACTGAGGAAGTGATCACTTTTATTCTAAAAAATTTGGGGAAGTGTTTAGTAGTATTTTGGAAGATCAAAAATTGTCTCAGCCCACCAATAATATCAAAATGGACAAATGTTGGGATGCCAGGGAAAATATTAGAAAGCATCATTAAAAAACTTTATAATTGCTTGTATTGTACTTGTGAAATTAAACCATTTTAGAGGAAAGCACAAATAAAACTTCATAAAAATAGTACAAGGATGCTGGAAACAGCAGATAACAACAATCAAATTTCAATCCAAAAGGTTCATTAACTTTCATTATGTGAACTGGCTCCCTGCATAGAAACACCCACGCACAACCACAACCTACGTCAATGAAAAATCCTTTTAGTCCGTTATCTTTTGAGAGGACGCATGTCGTCTGGGTCTCTAAGGGGAAGGATATAATGAGGATGTTATTGAGGAATCTTTGAGAAAATTCTTCTGCCAGACCATTAGTTCTACTGCTTTAAACTTTGGTTCTGCTACAGTGAACAAGTCTGCAGTCTACTCCATCTTTCATGGGTCATGTGTCAATGTCACATTATCCAGATCACCGGTACAAACTTTCCAAGTTAAAGGCATCCAATGCAGTTTTTAGGACTTGGAAATCCGATTTGTCAAAGCCAATATTATAGTCACTTATCTACATATTTGAGTTGAAACTACACCCTCGATCATGGAGGAAAGATTCCCCAAAATTCTGACGGAAATACATGTAAGGTTACTGAGAGGTTACCACCCATGAAATAAAGGACTCATCTTGGGGCTTTTTTCTGCAGTTTTAAATGCCCAAAGCATGAAATACTGAGATTGAAATGTGCTGATCATGATGTGAAGCAGCATGTGTCAGTATCACAAAGATTTCCTTAATCAGAATATTTCCAGTTTTGCTGCGGCCCTGAGCTGAAATCGCATTGGATGCCTTTAACTCATTGTACAGTAACCCTGTTGGGAACTGCATGTACATGTGAGCTAGCATTCCCTACTACATAATGTACCTAACTGACATATATAACATTACATGTATCCTCTGACAGTTCCCAGAAATGTGTCCAAACCCTCCCACTCTGGCTTGAATCTAATATAGTCCTGTGCCATAAACAAATTAAACCAGTTGGAAATAACATTCTACATTGTGTTTTCGAAAGAAATTACCATCTTAGCTTACAGCCCAAATCAAGTTAGAAGCAATTTAGTCATGTTCCAAAATGGAAAGATGCAGCCATCAGAGAACAAATACCAGTATTAAGTTGTCTATCCATACATGTTAACATAATTTTCTCTACTAAAAAGTTTCTGTTCCTTGTCAAATGGCAATTTGTCCAATATATTCAAGGGTTTTTAGTTGCTAGGTGAAAATTGCAACCAAGGCAAAAACTTTGTAAGCACCAGTTTTGAAAAAGTATTTGAAGGATTGAGCTATTCCAAATACAGGCGAGCTTTGGCTAATAGCTTAGGCCATGTTGATTTGATTATATGGATGACATCCTCCGGGAGCCCCAAAACTGATGCGCGCGTGCGAATAAAAAAAAAGTTTTGCAAAAAAAAAAGTTCTTTTCATTATGAAATCTACGTGGTCATGAGGATTGAACAAATGGGACAGAATATGGTTTGGCGAATAATCTAATCTTCAAGTTCATTTCCTTACAATTTCGTCTTTTTTCGTTTGATTTTGGCATTCTACGACATTGGTATAGTTTTTACTTATTTTTTTTGTAACTTAAGGTATATTTTTGATCATTTTGCAACTGTTTTGTACGATTTACAGTATGGTTGAAAACTTTTTTTTTTTTGGAAACGGCCGAAAATTCATGCGCGCGCGGATGTCATCCATATAGTCAAATCAACATGGCCTTACTACTACTGCCATACACAAATGCAAGACATAAAGCGCTTTCAGTCTGCGTCAGTACAGATAAACACTTTCATCTCCAGCCACTCTCATCTGCTTCTTACCTATACTATAGTCATTACATGAAAAGATTGAGCCATAACATAGGAAGCCACATCTGCTGCTAATGAGACTTCTAAACAGATGCTGTCTCCTAATGTTTTCTGAAACATCTGTTAGACCAAGGTCGGGCTATAAAGTACTGACTATGCAGTTAGAAAGAGGCAGGAGATGTGTTACCTACAAACATGCAGAAATTAGCTCTTTACATAGTGGAAAGATGTAAAAAAAAATGTCAATAGTTTGATGATAGTGTTCAATGTTGTGGGTACAATGTATGTACAATGTACTTGTTCAGGAGATTACACTTTGACAAAGACAGGCTGTTAGGTCTGACTATTTTGCAAATGAGGAAATAAAACGTAATGGGTTGCAAATTCCTTGCAGAGGGCAACATTACCAGTTTTCTAATGGTAAGGAATTCACAGGAGCATCTAAAATCCAGTGATATATTAGGAGCAAAGTTGTGAACTGGATACCAATGACATCCCAGTTTAATTTCTTGCTGGAACTAAGTACATTGTACCATGATCACATCATTATGTTTACCAAAGGAAAACATATTGTTTTTGCTGTTTCTTCTTCTTCGATTCCAAACACTGACCTGTCTCTCAGCATGGCAACTGGTGTTGGTTACATAATGTTGCAATTTTATAGTAGGAGGGATTTTGATTCCTGTCACCATATATGTTTAACAGAGCAGACCATATGTGAAGGTAAACATTATGCATTTGCTTTGCAAATGTTACCTTTCTAGTTTCAAAGCACGTGTTTCAAAGTGTTTTTTCTCATCAAAATTGACTGCAGAAATGATAGTTTAGAGCTAATAATTCTCAGTAGAAGTAGCTACAAATATATTATGATAATGTAACTTTTGTCTTGTAAAATTACATTAGTGACATTCATGGACATTTGTTCATACAAGGTTAACTAATTACACAGGATTTGATGTTTGTCCATCGTACATCCACAAGGACCTTGACTTCAGTCGACCTTTGGAGTCCAAGTTTGGCTAATGAGTCCATATAAAGCATATCTTGACTATTGAGGTAACATTTGGTTTGGCAATACTGCGTATACCAGAATCCATGTCGAGTCACGTAACAGCTTGTTTTGATGTCTCTTTGAAGACGACTATGATCATGAGCAAAGCCCATCCTTATAAGGGCACAGACGGCCAATCAAGACACAGATCAAACATCTTCCCGATTTCTGGCTGATAGCAAGGTTCTACGAGTAAGCATCGAATCTAATCTAATCAGGATTACTAAAAGTATCTTTCTGCATTTTGAAGGATGGATTCAAATTTCAAGGGAAAACACAATATCGAAGGTAACATTGTACATTTTGAACCTCTTGCTCTGCTGTCTCCATGGGCCAAACTGTAATGTCTGATTACTTCGTTGGTTTTGAAGCTGCAGGGCACAATTATGCCTGCCTTGGAAGGGTGGCTTAAGTTGAAGAATTTAATAAAGTCTAATAATGAATTTCTTTCATTCATCTCTGAGAGTCGAGAAGGTTTGAGTGGCCTTATCAGAGCCCCCTCTCTATGAGCTCCCTGCACATGTATATGTACATGTATGTTCATTATATTCTGTATCCAATAATGCTGGAGAATTATGTTTATCACTGCATCTTCTACCTCAGTCTCTGGTAACAGACGGTTTACTCTCTACTCTGTGCTTCTTTCAATTCCAACAGAATCCAGTCCACTCTGTATAGAGACTGCATTCAACTCACCTCTGATGAGGCAATGCCATATGTTTCAAGGACAAAGAAAAGAGATCATTCAATTGAATATGATATCAAAACGGTTGAAACGAAAACAGTTTGAACAGAAAATGTGACCTGCATTGTTAAATATACTGGTGAATGAAATCAAACATATTTTCTTGCTATTGTAAGCAATATGAAGTACTTTATGGTAAAATACAATACAAATTTGGGTGGGCCAGTAGCGGGGAAATTGAAATTTCTTTGGGAACTCTGGTTGATGCAATACAAATAAAGCAATATAACAATGCTGTCAACGCTTAAACACCTTTTATTCAAGATATACTTTGAATATCATAATTCTGAGTCTAAATCTCACTCTGAGTCTGAAATAAAAGCAAGAACATTTCCTTGGTTTCTCTGCAGATTAGTTGGTCCCTTGGAGATAGGAACTTGAGTGAAGTTTGCTTTCTATTTTGGATAACTACTACATGTACATGTATGTCACAACCTTTTGTAGCCTGTCTAAAGTATGTTCATGTTAAAGGTGCCACAGTTAACATTGAGGCATGTTCTAAGGACATTTCCATTTCTGTATACATCTACATGTATTTCAAACACAAAATGCTGAGATTTTCTCTAAGTAAGCATCACCATACATGTATATATATCTCCCATCGCCCAAAAAGTATATCTATCAGTTTTCACTTGACAAGACAACTTAGTAGCTCTGAATAACATGCTGAAACAAAGCTTTACGGGTATTCTATACAATGAATTATGGATTTCAAAGTAAACTGGCTAATGGGACAACACTGCAGAAAATCATGCGACAATACGAAATCACAAGAACCCATAAATTCATCCAACTGGTTAACAGAAGTTCATGTACATACAGTGATCGAGTAAACATATGAAAACAGTGAAAGGATGTACTTGTCTCAGTAGAAGTCGTCATCTGCTGCTTCAGATTTCTCGTTCGACTGTTGGTTCTTCACCTGGTCCTGGTTACTGTACATCTCTGCAACCTACGAAACACAGTCAAAACAAAAAATTTTTACTAAATTCTACTCATTTTACTAAAATTTGAGAGGTTATAGAAATTGAACTTCTATTGTTCTTGTAGCTAGAGGGATATCCTTCATTTTGCAAACAAAGTGTTTTGGCTTCAGAATTATTTCCTGAAAGAGACGGTCGCTAGAGTTAAGGGTGTGCAGAATCGAATTCAGACCCAAAATAAACTGGGGTGTGCCTCCTTAATTGCATTGTTTTCTTCTTTGCAAAGAGAATGTGAAACAGGATGCTATTTTTAAACTGATTTTGGAATACTTGAATCCACTTGTGTTGTGACTCCAGATCTTTCCTAACATTTTATATCTCATTCCTTTGACTTCTTTTTTATTACGAGAATCCATCTTATTCAAGGTCATCATGGACTTTCATAGAGTTAACTCTCTCCCTCTCAAATCTGAGACGAAACAGTCAAGCACAACCTAAGTACAGATGTGCAGGATATACTCCAGCAAGCCAATCTGTATGCTCATGAGCCGAGTTCCATTCCACTGGGATTAAGACTAGGTGTCCACGCCTGAAGGATAGTCAAGGTCACTTTGTTTCCTTTAATATCAGCATGGCTACAGGGGATCGGGTTACCTAAGGTCATTACAAGCAAGAATTTGAAATGACCTGAATTGGCGACCAAGCCAGGAAAAGAATACAGGTATGACAGATGTTGTGTTGAGTTAGTCGAGAATGGCAAACGAAATTAACTGTTCTTCCTATTGTCCCAGCACTGTTCCAAAAATAAATTTCAACTATCCCGAAGTGAGGATGAACTGTCCCAACCTGTTTTTTGGGAAGTATTGTATGACTGCAACTTGAAGTCAACTTTATTTTGCTTATGTTCACTCCCAGGCGCAGTACAATTGCAGTGTAGACAGGAAATTCGAGGGACTTTTCCGGGTCCAAAAGCTGGGACATGTGCCTGATGAACAAAAGAAGGGCTGACAATCAGATTCTGATGTTGATTATTTTTTGATCGTCCCAAAAATGTCCCAAAGTGTCTTTTTAGTTGTCCCAGCCTAAATGTAAATTTTAGTGGTCAGTAGCCATTGGACCACCTTTAATTTTGAGCCCAGGCAAGGCTTCATTTTCACAAAAAGGTTACTCACAATAACTCCACAATGCGCTTCAGGTTTTACAGAAGACATGACATATTTTGCCTGAAAGAAACTGAGTAAACAACTACAGCTTGATGCAACTGTCAATCACCTGCTGTGCACTGGTTGCCTCTTCAGGCTTCTTGTCATCACGGATACGCAGGAATCGTGGGAAACGTAGGGAGATCCCTTTCTCTGGGTCAACCTGTTATAAATGGGGGAATGGTAGGAAGTAAAAATTGTTATTTTGTAAAAAAATACATGTAATGTTACACTTAACATAAGTGATTCTTAATAGTGTAGATATTCTGGTTGATAACTTAAAAATTGCAACTCATTTTTTTGTAAGTAATCCTTATTAAAAATCATGTTTATGACAATAATGCAATCAATGAAACAATAATTCTATTTCTCAACAGCTGCTGTAACTTGATATTTAATGCATTACAAGAAAGGGCTTTCATTTTCTGCTTGGCATTCCAAAAGAGACACTTAGCAGGACACTCCCAAACTGCATCATGTTATCTTTTAACTTTACTTTGGGTTATGCAGATGTAGCAATCTACAACATTATGGGGCTTAGTAAGTATATGGAACACTCACTAAAACAATGGACCATACTTAATTACAAGTATTGATATTTTTGTAAATAATGTATTACATGTGTATATACCTTGAAATTGCATTGTACAGTTTTTTATGTTTAATGTATTATACTTGATGTTGATGTACAATATTTGATGTTAATGTTGTTCATTACTGCAATTTGGTTTGTATTTAATAATGTAATCTGATTTTATATTCTGTATGTTGTGTTTGGGAGGACAACTTGTAAAGGTGACAATGCACCTGTTTTGTCCTCCCTTCCACTTGTATTTCTTGTGGTAAATTCAAATAAACAAATAAACAAGACATTTAAGAATTAGCTTATCAGCAGCAATTGATTTTAGTATGTAAAATATATTGCTGTTATTACTGCACATTGATTTAAATGTTGATTATCATGTAACAAGTGCTTATAGTGTTTTTAGATTTCAATGCCAGGGATACCAGGAAAACAGGTCTGTTACCGGAGTGTATTTTCCCTGTATAAATTGAATGAATGAAGATAAACCAACTCACGATGCCCTCAGCAGCCTTGTGCACAGGAGAGATGGACAGATCGGCACACTTGATCTCCCACACCTGAACTGCATCAAACCAGTGGTCCGGCTCAACACTGCTGTCATAGCGATAGTACGACTTGGGCTTGTCAACAACATGGTTCTTGAAGAACTCTGTATGTTGCTCCAGTTCTTCATCCTTAAAACCCGTACCAATCTGTGGGAACAAGTCAGGATAAATCCATCTTATTAATTTATTTATAATCAAAAGCGATATTGCATAAAGGAACCATCCCAGTCAACCAATCATCTCATTACTTCTTAACCTGTCTTATTCTTGAACAAAATTGTCCATTCGATCATGAAAGTTCATCTGTGTTGGTAGTTACATGTTTAAAGTTAAAACTCCAACACACACAAAAATTCTCTCACCTAGAGCTTTCTACTAAGGAAGACCAGAGTGACTGGTCGAAAGCTCTAGGTGAGAGAATTTTTTGTGTTGGACCTTTAAACAAATGTCCATTCAATTAAGATCAGTAGCACGTGACGTCAGAAAGTGTTTGTGTGGTTTGCTATGAAACTTCTGCTAAATCAACAAGTGAATGCATGCAGCTATATGAATAAGTCATTAAGAGCATCATAAAAATTCAGCCACACTATAGCTAAAGGCTATGGTCAACTGTTCATACATTCACTAATGTCACACAGTGACATAAAACAAAGATCTAAGTCTTCATAGGAAAATTAAACTCTACTACTACTGACATCCACCACTCTTCTTCTAACAAATACACTCTGCTCATACATGTATATGCCTTATCTAGTTCTGTTAGTTCATTAGTGACGCTGAAGAGGAGTGGTGGATGTCACTCAAAACGTCCGGATATTACATGTATCTCCGTAATTTAGCCAGTAGTAGAGTTTGAATTTTCCTATGAGTAGTATATCACTAAAGTCTTACTTAACAGCAAAATATTTTTGATTTCTTCTATATCTCAAAAAGGACAAAATGCTAAACAAAAGCCCATCTCACCTTGCAGATAGACTGGAATTCTTCGTCCTCTTCGCTGTAGCAGGCCAATAGGAAGCCTCCGTACTTCCCTGTCCTCTTCCCTGTGCCCAGGAAGCCTCCGATGGGCACAACGTCCAGCGTGTCTCCCACACCCTCCAGGTAATCCTTCTTCAACTGGGAGCATAACAGAAACGTTAGAGGGAGGAAGGCAACCATAGAGGCAAGCACAGCATTCTACATCCAAACAAAGTAAAGGGGAAGTGAACTACACATGCTTTCTCTGTGGCCCCTTTTTACAAGGGAATCCTTAATTTTTTTTTTCGTTACAAGAAATCAGAATAGAAGAGATATATTACATGCAGCAAGGCAATCATAGATTAATGGTATTCTAAATTCTAACAAAATAAAAGGAAAGCTAACTACACATGCTTTCTCTTTTTGTGTTGGAACAAGTCAAACTCTTTAACTATGGATTCTACCAACACAGATGAGCTTTCATTCGAATGCTTTCTCTTTGGCCCCGTTTTACATGGGAATTCTTATTAATAAGTCTTTTTAAGTTTTGAAGAACAGAAAAGTTACAGCAATGCAATCATACAGGTAGATATACATGCAATAAAATTAAAACTAAAATTGAGAAGTTATAAGATGATCAGAAGTTTCCCTATTATAACAAAGTTTAGAAAGCCAGCTAGTTTAAATCCCATATTCTTAATATCCTTGAACTCCCATATTCAAACTAAAAACAAACCACTTGCTCTACCAATTGATTTTGACACCTAAAGTTGAAGTTATGCATTTTGAATGTTGTTAAGCCTACCACTAACAAAGTGTCACCAGAAACTGATTGTAAGGGTGTAAGTCTACATGAACTTGTTTTCTTAATGGTGAATACATTTTGTACCTTGAGCCAGTTATGTGATCTCTTGGCTATCTCATAGGTGGCATCCTTGTCAAGAGTCTTGACCATCAGGCCCTCACAGCTGTCTGTAAAATATCAAAACATCTAAAATTAAAAAAAAGGTTCACCCACACCAACTTAAGTGCAAAAATAGCATATGCAGCTTGTAAAAGGTAGTGAAATTCTAGTAACATACTATAGCACTTTTCTAGTCCTGGTGAAAAAAATTGACAAGGTATAATTCATAGTGGCTATTAGTAAGACATAAATTATTGCCAAAAACACTAGAAGAGAGAAATACATGTATGACAAGTACAGATGTACAAAACTGTACTATAGGATGGTTGATGATGATGGTTGTCAACAGTTGCTGAGGAAATGAAAAGTTTGACACCTTTGATGGAGGCGTCTAGGAATTCTGCGATCTCCTCCGTGTTTCCCGACACCATCAATGTGGCGAACACAAACTCTCCCTCCACCTCGTCAAACGACTCTCGCAGCATCTCGCGACGTTTGCGGAACGGCTCTCGTACAAGGGACTAAAAAAGAAGGAAAGTTCGATCAGCATTATTTTATTCCCATATGTACAATATGTAACTTCATCAATAAAAAGCCAGGTCCTTCTTCATTACTCTCATGTAACTAACTAAACTCAATGGAAAGAAATCCATCTACAATGTCATGTTTGGGAAAGATAGAAAACTTTTGCACTGATTATTTTCTTCACCAGCATACTTGTACAATACTAGTACATTACAAAAAATAGGAAAAAATATAGTAGGTCTTGAACAGGATTTGTAACTTATTTACTGTGCCTTTCTTAAGAAACCTTTTATCAACTCACCTGTCCATTGAGGTACAGCAGGTCGAAGGCATACACACACACCTGCACCTTAATCTCTGACTTGTCAGCATCCTGAAGGAACAATAACAGAGCCATTAGACTTCATCAATTGACATATATCTTTAGCATGAAAAGTCAATAAATATTGTAAAGGTACCTAAAAACTTTGATTATTAAACACATACTGAATTGATTTTCAACCTACCCATCTTCCCCAAATCTTGTAGGTAAACAAGGCAATATCAATGCCACACATTGCTTGTGTGATGCCTAATGTTAATGTCATGTGACTATCATGTGACCATCATGTGATCATCATGCCCCTATCATGTGACACCCACCTTCCTCTTCCTGGTACTGAGCACCTGGAAGGGCAGGATCTTCTTGTTCTCGGGGTCCCAGGCTACCGCCTCCGAGTCAATGATACAGGAAGTGACATCATCATGCTTGACCTTTGGCATGCGTGCAATGATGTCTGGGTACTTGGAGGTGTTGTTTTCCTGGTTTCTGCTGTAGATGTGGATCTCTCCATTTTCTAGCATGTGGATCTGACAAGAACAAAAACATGTTTTAAGTGTGATCAAAAACTATTATACATCATATCAAAGTATGTTACACAATCCATAATCTTTACAGGGCATCATGATTACCTTATGTCTCTAAAAAGGATCACTAGTAATACTACACTTCTTCTTTAAACCCATCCAATACATTCTGAACAGACAAAGGTGTCATTCATTGCGATGTTTCTCATTGCAAAGAAAGCAGAATATAACAAACAACGTAAAATTCTTGCAGTACAAAAATTTATGCCTCAAAATGACTGAAAGTCTGAAACAATACTTATGATTATGGCAAAAACTGGCAGTGTTCAACACCACCTGTTCATAGCCAAGAAAAAAAGTGCAAAACTATTTTTCAAAAGAATGGGAAGTTATAGAAAGACCTATGATCCACTGCTCACGGAGTCACGTGTGTTATCTGCGTGACGTCAGGGAAGTGGTGGATTGCTCATTCCTTGACAAAGACTGGAGTTGTACAGTCGAAAATTTGGATGAGTCCAATTTGTTGTGTTGGAAATTACAGTTTAAAATTGCTTCATGATGGGAACAGTTCTGTTTATGCTAGCAACTGACCTGTGCCCTCTCCCCATCGTACTTGTACTCGCACGTGAACTCTGCCCCCTCGAACCTGCGCAACACCTCGCTCACTCCCTTGGTGGGATGCGCCAACATGGGCTTGAGGGGGGTGCCAGGTGTCAGCTTGCAGTGTTTGGGCAGCTCTTCCAAACCGTGCTTCAGCATGGCAGAGATGACAGCGTCGTAGTTCGGCATCTCACTGTGGGAAAGTAGTTCAGATTTACAGTATGTTCAGAAGTATGAAACTGAGCAATAAACATTTACTGGAGCCTGCTAGTATAATCCTCAAGTTACCCAACATCTTTTCCACCAGTCATCCCTAAGTAAGACAGTTGGCTCCTGTTTAGAACTCTTCTTTCACCCAAATCCTCTAATCATACCGTATATGAAATGTTTTGAGAAAACATGACCTATCTACAGAGTCTCCTCATAGTTATACTGACCAGTAGGTAGTCTTGAGGATGAGTGCAGCATCTTCCAACATCTTCTTCAGTCCTTCTGAGGACTTGCCCTTCCCTGCATCAAGTACATCTTCAGAGAACAGTAAAAGACATTTACCAAGTTACTCTTCCACTTTATTTTCTAGATGCTGAAATAGTGACAAGACTTCATTGGCATTGATGATAAAAATAGCCAATCAATCAAGATCTCTACTACAAAGTTTATAAAAAAACCAGTAGAGTTTATTTTACCTCAGAAGAGTGATGTCAACTAACAAACATGTACATTGTGTAATTCCACCACTTGTCACATTTATCTGCCATCCTGAAAATTGCACCCAAAAAGATCCCCATTGCAATGTCCCCCAGTATAATGCACTTCTGCATAATATCTGTGCATACATTACCTGGGGGATCTGCACTAGTGATATTTGAACACACTGTTTTTCAAAGTGCCACATATGTTAGGCCTAGGGAAAAAAATGTGTTGTTTTCTGTTTCCCGACCGACCCTAGAAAAACCTGCCGACCCCAAATTTTTTTTGGGGGGGTGGACCACTGCAAAGGACATAATTTTTCGAGCTGATCGACCTTTTCTAGCTTCATGATCTGACACCTTAGTGATAAAACATTGTACAGTTGGTTTTCTAACATTGACATCGACATTTTTTCCCAAGGCCTTATCCAGCAGATGAATGTTAATTTGGGTTTAGGAGTACCTTTCCCAGCTGGAGTGAGAGTTGCTGCATGGGCCAGTGCGGTCAGAACAGACTGCTCTGCCAGCCCAATCCTCAACTTGCCCCCTAGCGACCGGATAAGGTACCGCGCCTCGGACTGACGACACGCTACAAACATGCCCTTGATGAAGTTTATCTTCTTCGTCATGACCTGAGCAAAGAAGGTATGTCAAAGAACAGTTACTGTACAACAATGATATCAAATGTCTTAAAGTTTGTGACATGAAAAGTAAGACAAGTTCTATCATTTTTTTATGTTTATACATTATATATAATATTATTTGTCTGTATCAAACCTAGTGTTTACATTATATTTGCCTCTATCAAATTTCATTTTTTAACTATATTTGCCTCCTGCAAACTTCTTGTTTATATTATATTTGCCACTATCAAATTTCATGTTTTCATTATATTTGCCTCCTGCAAACTTCATGTTTACATGTATGTTATACTACAACAAAGAAACAAACAAACAAATGATAGCTGGAATATTATATTGGCTTACATCATTGCCCTTGATGGTGGAAATTTCCTTCAGCTTGTTGAAGACTCCCCTAACTGTCAGCTTGGGTGGAGCAAACATGGTGCGCTGTGTGCTGCGACTGGTCTGGAAAAAAACGCAGAAACGAAATTTATCACTGAATGGAGTGTTAGACAAATCAGTGATAATATGATATCTAATATACAGGACGTCTCCCAAAAAATTGCTGCCTAAGTTGGTTTTCTTGCTTTCCTTTTTAATGCCCATGATCATGACAATGATCATTCTGGCATACTCATTTTCACCTGAGTGAAGTGAGGAAAGTCGTGTAAAGTGCCTTTCCCAAGGGCATAACGTTGCTGCCTTGTCGCAGGATTCGAACCTGGGACCTCTTGGTTCTGAACCAAATGCTTTGCCATTACACCACATGACCCCAGTCACAAAATTCTTCAGTAAAACTTTATAACTGGTTCTTAAATACAAACAAAAAACACATGCATTGACCTCACCTCAGCCACTATTCCCAGGTCACCCTTCTCCTGAGCGTCAGTTTTGATCTGAGCCATCTTCCTCCCGGTGGCCTCGGCGATGGCCTTCATGAGCACGGTCTCCCCGATCCCCAGCTCCAGACCCTCGTACGCAGGCCCGACCTTGTTCAGGCACAGGTACACGCACTGCACAAGGTCATCCGGGGTCAATGCGATCACCGAACGGAAGAAGTTACAGAGGATCTCCATAATCTTCAACCTGGAGAAAAAAAGATGCCAGTGAGTAAAATTACAATACCCACTTATTAGCCAGAATGTGGGACTGTTCATTATCCAATGCATTAAAGAAGTCAACCCCATAATAGCAAACATAGTACATGTAGTAGTAGTAATTTATAAGTTGATCAGTTTTTGTATATTATGTTTTGCTTCACTTTACTTCTTTGACTGTACATGCAATGTACTGCCTTTGGAAATGATTCTATGAGTAAAGAATTAAGTACAGTGTAACAGATTATTGAGATGAATATGAAAACTGTTCTGCCTTTAAAAGATAATGTTGAACGAAGAAGGAATATGTCTAGAGTACATGGATTGGACACAGGCTGTGTTTAGTCTCACCTGTGTCTAATTTTACCGTCTGAAATTGATTTTGTTGAATGTAAAGACCACATACTATGGGGAGAGTCTCCATGGTTAGCACTACACAAAATACAGTATTTGACACTTTGCAAGAAGCTATCTGCACTCACCTGGCTCGAACTTCTTCAATGGCCTCAAATGTCTTGGCCAAGGCAAGGTATGGAACCCTGCAAATACAACAATTTTTGTTATGATTCCCTGTGTATCTGTGTTTTCACAAAGTTCAACGTATGTATACATGATTTAGATACAAGTCATCTCAAAGTATAGGAAAACGCTGCATATGGGAAAACACTGAAAGGGGGCCCAAATACTGGTATACCTCATGTTATAAACTAATGAGAAAACTTTTTGGAAAATATATATTAGGTGTGCCTGATAAGGCTCCTTAGGCACCATACAGAGGAGGAATTTGACATACCTCTTATCCTTAGCCCAACAGGCATCTTCCACAGGGTCATAGTGGGCCTTGGTGGGGTTGTAGTCCTCAGCTGTCAGTCCAGACTGGCCAGCACTGAAACATGTAAACATGGAGATGAGAATAAATCATAGGGTATAGAATTTTCTTCATACACAACCAGTAAGGTTCTCACCTGCTTACATTTCGATGTCTATCAGACACCTTCCTCAGAGCTTCTGACTGGAGTTATGCAACTCTCTGCTATTTAACGCCAAAGTGGGGGGCGTTAAATGTAATTTTGGCGTTAAATAGCGACGAGTTGCAGAACTCCAGTCAGAAGCTCTGAGGAAGGTGTCTGAGAGACATCGAAACGTAAGCAGGTGAGAACCTTACTGGTTGTGTATGAAGAAAATTCTATACCCTAAGTATCTTCCAACCTGATGAAATTATTTACGGAGAATAAATCATGAATTGTACAAAGAACTACTGTACTATCAAAAGAAGACAAAAAAAGATTGTAAACTCGGCTCTTCCTCACGTTTTGTCAGCCTCCTGTTTAGGCTTGAAGAATGCAGACATCGGCTTGGCAGCAGGTTTAGGGGAGGCTTTCTTCTCACTCGATTCATCAGAAGCCTGGGAGGAGGTGGCAGGTCTCTTTGGGGCTGCAAAAGTAAGAAACGGTGCATTATGCCGAGGGGTGGTTAATTACAAAAGCTATATAGTAATGATTACAGTATCATAAGGTGTGGGTTATCTTTTAAATTTTGGGTGTGTAAACTGTTTCGTTGCCTTTTTATCATACTTTTCATTCCCGAAAGATGCCCGGCTGGGCCCAGGTTTGGAAATGTGACCTCAGCATTAAGGATAATGGGTTGAAGTTCTGTTGAACACAGGACAAAGGTGGAAGTGGTTCTTACAGAAGAAGGAGCCGATTCCTGCGCTGGTTTTCTTGCTGCTGTCTTCCTCCTTCTTCACTGCTTTCTTGTCAGATGGTGACTTTAAGGATTTAGTGCTCTTTTCTTTGCTTTCCTCAGATTCCTCCATCTTTTTTACCAGACACAAAGAAAAAAATATATTAACTGGGTCACCATATCTACGAGTAACCTGATTCAAACACGTGCCAAAGACATGTACACTATCAAACTTATAAGATAATATAATTGTACTAGCTACATGGAGAGAAATTCCAATGCAAATATACTGTCTTTCTGGCTGTTTTTACCTTTTTTTCAGCTGTTGCTTCTCCTGCCTTCCTGATTACAGCAGCAAACAGAGAATCCATGGAGTCTTCAGAAGGACCAGCTGTCTCCTTTTCTTCCTCCTCTGGCTCCTCCTTTACCTTCTTCTTCTTCTCAGCAGACTTTGGACTTTGCTTCTCTTTCTTCTGCTTTGGACTTTTCTTCTTGTTTTGCTGGACACTTTCTGTAGTGGGAGACAAAGGCTCTTCAAACTGATATCAAGTGATATCTAGTTACTTGTAACCAGATTGAAACAGGGAATTATTGTAAAATTATTGGTGAAAACTTACCGTCATCCTTAAGTTCTTTTTTCACTTCTTTATCAGGGGTTTCATCCATCTTTTCTTCTGTTTTTTCTTCCGTCTCTTCCTTTTGCTCTGTCTTCACTTTCTTGGCACTTGACTCCTCTTCACCCGCAGTGGGTGATGTGTGCCCGTTAGATGTCGGACTCTTTGTCTCAATGAGTTTACGTTTCGGAGTGGGAAGTTGCTTGCGAGCTGTGGGCAGAAAACCTTCAATTAGGATATTGCTGCCTTAGTTACTTGTCTCTGTAGAACATTTCTTTATATCTAATTCTATGTCAAAGAAAGAGCAATCTTTCTGCCAATTGTATTGAGTCCACAAGGGAGCAAAGACAACACATGAATTCCATTATCATCCAAATAGGCTGCACTGTACATTAATTAATTTAATGAGGATGGGAGACTTAATTTTGCAGTGGCATAATTAATGAAGAGATTTTTTGTGGTGTTTTAATTGGGGGTCTGTAGCACAGCAGTATTACAACGGAAACATGTGAACAGTGAAAATAAAACAACTGCAAACATATCAAGATTAAAAAATTTAAGTACTCCCCAAACCATTAGCATGTCCATGGTCGCATATCTCCATTTCTATAGCCACACAGTGCAATCAATCGCTACAGCAGGTGGCTAGTCCACTGGTGGTGGTGTGTGTTTAACTCCCATACTCTTTCCCAAATACGGAGTGCTAAGCAGAGACTAAAAGTTATTCTGTTACAAGTTCAAGATTGAACTGAAGAAATTCTCACCAGTCTTCCTCTTGGGGATGCCCCCAGGAGACTGGAGGTTTGGTCCGTTGTACGTGACCCTCGGCATCTTGGGAGACGGAACCTCGTCACTCTCATCTTTCACCTTCTCCACAACCTTGGGGGCCTTGTCAGCATCCTTCACTTCCTTCTGAGATGAGATTTAAATTACAACAGAAATGAAGGGATACAGTTGATGGAGACTATGGAGGAGTCGTGTGCAATCTCTGGTTGCCTGCTACATGTAGGACTGTGATGTCAAACACTTTGGTCTGGCTCCTTTCTTGAGATACACTTAAATACACTTAAATGAGTTACAGATGCGAGATGTTGTCTGTGTAGTCGTTATTATAACTTCCTGTGTATTAGACAGTTTGTTTTTCATTTTTTTTTATTTCTGTGCAATTCAGTGCGGTCATAGCATGCACTGCGAATTTTTTTTGATGAGAAATAAACCAATCACTACTACACTACTTTCTGTTGTTTTCTAGACAACACATTGCAAAAGAAATACTGCTGCAATCATGCCTATTCTTTCACTCAAATCTTAAACTTTATATAGGTTAAGTCATCTATGATTTACTGAACCAGGAAACATATTTGCAAACTTAATAAGCTATAACATGTTATCTATGCCATTCTATATAGACATTGGCAAAACCATACCTGTTCATCAGCTGATTTACTTGGTTCTGTTTCCATGGCGACATTCTCTCCCTCCTCCTCTTCATCATCATCATCACTGTCGATGATGCGCCGTGCCTTTTTACGTGGAACAGACTTGACTGGAGAGTCATCTCCATGGGCTGAGGCTGGAGGGGAGCCATTCTTGGTCTTCAGTGGTGACTTCAAGCTAGAAAATTATGCGCATATAATTTTACAAGTGATGTGGCTGCTAATTAGATCTTTATGTTTACTGAAGGAAAATATATTGTTTTTGCTCTGTTTCCTCTTCTACTTGTTCTTCTTCTCCAAACCAAAAAGGTCAATGACCTGAACCAGACAGTCTATGACCATGGTAACTAGTGTTGGGTTACATAATGTTGCAATTTTATAGCAGGAGGGATTTAGACTCCTGTTTGACCATATATATGCATGTGTTTGAGTAAGAGTTTACAGAGCAGACCATAGCGAAGGTAAATATTATGCATTTGCTTTGCAAATGTTACCTTTCTAGTTTATCTTCTTCGTAGTCCAACCATGTTAACCGGTTAATACTAGTACATGTATTCCGTTATTTATTTGATCAATCAATATTGAAAATTTTAGTTTCATCATTCCTATTTGGTAAACTTATGATCGACTGTATGTTTTACTTCGTATGTTATTTTCGTACGAGGTATGCATATTCTGGAGATAATGATTTAATCATTTGTGTAGACTGGGGGAGGGGGGCAACAGCTTATATTTTCATCACTGCCCCGTAAAACTTATTTCCCTGACAATCAAAGACAGTCTAACTATTAGCCATGGTTGATACTTCTGTACTGATGTCGTGCAGAAAACGTAAATATCTGTCTCGTAGATGTCAGCGTGTTTTAGTGAGAAATGGCGGCAAGTTGTGGCTAACTCACCCAGACGCCGATGTGTCCTGCTTCGGAGTCTTGGCTCTAGGCGCAAAAAACGACCTGCAAAAGACGCAAATTTCCCATCAGTGCGTGGAGACGTGTGTTGAAAATGTGTGGATGTTTTAGATCTACGAAATATGCTTTACTTACGCGATAGATCGCTGGGCCATCCCGCTAGAAAAATTGTTGCGATTTTGGAGACACCGCCGCAAACAACTTTCCCGCCAAGTTAGGGGTCAAAGGTTACAGGAGGAGAGAAGGCGCGAAATGGAATGTACCAATAGCTCACAGGGGTGTTCTTCCTGGCCGATCAAATATGATATAACGTCATATTTGCCTGATATTTGTCTTGTCAGCAGACTATCGCCGTTTCTAAGACTTCCTTGTCTGTTATTATGATTTATTTCTTGCTCTAAAAGTTGTTGATGGGGACAATCCTCATCAGATTTAGGCCACCGGAAACCAATTTCCATATATGGCAAGAGATCCATATATGGCAAGGGGAAGCACGCTTTCAAGCGCCGCCTAGCGATTTGTGATAGAAACGCCAGGAGAGTAGCGGGACCAAGAAGGAGGCTGGAGCGTGGGTTCGGTAACTTTGACATTTATCCTCCTGACTTTAGCTATCAAGCCTATTTTGTTTGTTGTATTGCATCTGTATGAAAGGGATGTTGTTTAATGTCACTTTTGATCCTTTTGATATCATGATGATAATCCAGATGGAGGTTTTCGAGGTCAAAAGGAACGAATTCCAAGAAATGCAGCCAGGCTGCCTTCAGGAAAGAAC